CTCCAGGTATGCTTTTGCAACCTCCTTAACTTCTGGACGTTCATTATTTACATCCTGTCTTGGTGTTGATGTTTCAGTAGCGTTTTCCTGAGTTACATTAACAACAGGTTGCTCAACTGCTGAAACATTAGCTGCTTCAGTAATGTTATGAGTAGTTGAAACATTTCCTGATATACCTTCTCCTGTTGGAACTCTTGGAGCAATTGTTGTGATGTTCGCCATTGCAGGAGTTGGAGTAGGAGTGTCATCAATCTTTCTGTCAGCTTTCGTCGTTTGCGTTGTAGTATTTGTTGTTTCATTACCATATTTTGATCTTAGTCTGGTAAGCTCTAACTTCATATGTTCTTCAGGATATGCATACTTATTATATTCACCCTTAATATTCTTTTTCCATTCATCGTATTTATCTTCTGCTGATTTCTTAATTGATGCTAGTCCGTTTACAGCCAATTCATCAGTACCGTTATCAGTAGTCTGGTTATATAAAAGATTAGCAGCTGATCTAATTGTGTAATCCGTAAGATTACCAAAACGCTCTATTGTACCTAATGTTGTGTTCTTCAGTTCCTTTCCAATTCCTTGTGCAGCATCTTTGACTAAATCAGCACCCCATGCACCAAATTGTCTCACAGGAGCCGCTATTGATGGTGAAGGAGATGGAGATGGCGATGGAGTTGGTGATGGTGAAGGAGATGGAGATGGTGAAGGAGATGGAGTTGGCGATGGTGTTGCTGCTTTCGCCTTTCTATCAGCTTCTTCCTTAGCCTTTCTATCTGCTTCTTCTTTCGCCTTTCTATCTGCTTCTTCCTTAGCCTTACGAGCTTTTTCTTTCTTCTTAAGTTCCTCTAGTTCTTTACGTTCAGCTTCTTTCTTTCGCTTCTTTCGTTCAGCTTCTTCCTTAGCCTTACGAGCTTTTTCTTTCTTCTTAAGCTCCTCTAGTTCTTTACGTTCAGCTTCTTCTTTCGCCTTTCGTTCAGCTTCTTCCTTAGCCTTACGAGCTTTTTCTTTCTTCTTAAGCTCCTCTAGTTCTTTACGTTCAGCTTCTTCTTTCGCCTTTCGCTTCTTCGCCTTACGCTTCTTCTTCTTAGCTTCTACGTTCAGCTTCTTCTTTCTTAGCTTCTTAGCCTTACGAGCTTTTTCTTCATAATATTTTGTATACTTATCATCAGCCCAATTACCAAGTGATTTGGCACCTGTTAGTATTCCATTTGCGGTTGATGTTGCTGTTCTTCCGAGCCATCCCCCTACCGCTGAAGCACCATTGCCAATAGCACTACCAGCATTTAAAATTCCACGACCAATCCATATCCCTGGTTTTGCCTTTGTATTAAGAGTAAGAAATTCTTCCTTCCTATCTTCAGGTGTAGGATTTGTAACAGTTCTTACAGTATCAACAACAGTGTCAACACTGGTTCCAATAGCACTACCAACAGCTGTTGCACCAGTTAGAATACCATGGGTAACTAAATCAGTAGCTCTTGAGACAACATTATCACTCGAGGCTTTCTCTGCTGGATAGTTTGATCCTTTGTAAGTTCCTGGACCACCTCTATTTGAAGCTTCTCCTTCAACTATTTTCTTCTCTTCTTGTGCTTGTTCTCTGGCAACACTCAATGCACGTTCTTGTCTTTGAATGTTGTCTTTCTTTAACATGTAACCACCAAGTGTCTGTGGTGGTGTGTTTTTATCTAGTGCAGCATCAATTGCAGCCTTTTCTTTTCGCTTTTCTTCGTCTAACCAATTTTGAATAGATTCTGCATCAGTTGGTTCAGCTGGAGTTGGAGACGGTGTTGGAGCTTTAGTTGGTGTTGGAGACGGTGTCGGAGCTTTAGTCGGAGTTGGAGATGGAGTAGGTGCTTTTGTAGGTGTCGGTGATGGAGTTGGAGATGGAGTTGGAGGTACTGTTGGTTCTGGAGTTGGTTCAACAGTCGGTGAAGGTGTTGGCGCCTTTGTGATTCTTGGAGTTGGCTCTGGTGTTCTAATAGGGGAAGCAGTTGGTGTATTAGCTCTTTTAAGAACCTGTGATCTTTCCGCTTGATTTGAATCAGATACTGGGTTAGTTGTACTAGGATGTGATACAGGAGTTATTTTTGGTGTAGGTGTTGGTTTATTTAATGTTATACCATGACTACTCGACATTGGTGGAGGACCTGCGTGAGCAGTTGGTGTCAGAGTTGGCGTTGGAGCTACTGTAGGAGTTGGCGTTGGAGCTACTGTTGGTTCAGGAGTGGGAGTTGGTGTTGGAGCTACTGTAGGAGTAGGTGTAGGAGTTGGTGTTGGAGTCGACATTTGTTTTAACCTCTCATTATACCAATTCTCCAAATAATAAGCCTCACCCATTAAGTTACTCTGTCTTTGTTTTATAGAAAATTCACCTAACAGTAATTCATCATGAATCATTTTCTGCAGCTTTGTCGTGTTTTCTACTTCCTTTATTAGAACGCTCGATGTATTCGCCAATCCTCTATATTCCTTAATCATCTTATCTAGTTTGTTCATATTTGGTACTTCCTTTTTCTTCTCAGCGTTAATCTCATTAGATCGTTTCTCCAATTCTTCAACTACTTTGTAAAGCTTATTTATCTTGACATGTGATTCCTTTACTTCTCCAGTCCTTGGATCCTTAGGTTCCTTGTATTTAGCTAATTTCGTCTCTATATATCTTCGTTTAGCGTCATATCCAGGATCACTGGTTCGTAAAGGATGCGAAGGTGGACGAAAATAAGGTATGTAGAAATCTGGATCATCATTAATAGAAGAACGTGCTTTAAAGTTACGAACCGCGTCTGTAAAAGGGTCTCTACCACGTGCTGTATATGTTGATGTAATCAAAAAGCCTTCTCTTCTCATTGGGAAATTAATACGACCTTTTTGAACATATTCTTTCTCAAAGTATTGCCTAGCATTGTAATCAAAAGCAAGATCATTATATATATCGCGCAAAAAATCAAATGTATGCTGCTTGAACTTTTGATCGCTAATTATGGTACGAATTATCGGACGTTCATTCTCCCATTTCTTAACTCGTTCATCAATGAGTTTCCTCTCTTGTTCACTCATTTAAACCTCATAAAAATATATTATCTGCGTATAGTGCCACTAATAGCATTAATCCATGGCATGTCTGATAGTACACGTACTGACTGAACTAATGGCTTATGATTGTTCCAAATAGCTCCTCCAATGTATGCGTTATACTTATTGTTGTCAATAGTTTGTTGAGGTTGAACTATAGGTGTTTCAACAGGCTTGTCTCTACTGAAGTCACCACCAAGAGCTTTATTGAATGCTTTAAGATTCTTCGTTAATGCATTATCTTCACCTAATGTAGTTTTTGCAATTCTTTCACCAAGACTACCGATAACACCACCGACTTGACCAACTTGAGGGAAAAGTTTGTTAGCAATGTTAAATCCAGCACCTATTACAAGACCAGGATTTTTTTTCACCATACCCCATCCAGCTTTAACATAATCGCCAAAACCCATTTATTTCTTCTTAAAATAATGTCATCTTTTGTTGCTTAACTTCTTTAAAGTCCGTCTTTCCTGCAACTATATGAACTTCCATATATGAACGAGGTGTTGGTAGCTCTTTGTATTTGTTCCATAACTCTTCCCAATCTTCTGTTGCTCCTGACTGTTCAATCATTGACTGAAAGTCTCTCATAGAATAACCTTGAAAGATAACGAAGTCAGTGCATAGTCTCTTAATGTTTAAACATATATGTCTCCATGTTTGACACATGATGACAACAGTATAGTTATAATGTCTGACCTTAGTGATGAAGTTCGCTAATGGTGAACGTGGGTCATTCAATAAGTCATGACCACCATAATCGTCTAACACTAATAGAGAATTACTGGGATACTTTGTGAAAGGATATTTGTTCAACTTCTTTACAACATATATTGCAATCTTCTTATACTCAAACTTTCCATCAGGTTTCCTTAGTTGATGCTTTGTTAAGATGTGTTCCATCTCCTCTGAAATTTTTTCGAACTTACTTTGAACGAACTCAACAATAGCGTAATACTTTGCTTTCATCTTAACGTTCTTCATTAAATAAGGCATAAGTTCTTTATCATCCTTTTTCAGTACTGGTGCTTTAACTTGACTCATAAATGTCTTCGCTGTTTTATCCATTGTTCCTGATGTTGCTGAGATAACTATTGAGTCATAATATGGAGTATTAGTGAAGCGGTCTGTTATCATTATATGACGAATAACACCATATGTCTTACCTGAACCCATCTTACCGCAGTAGAAATAAACACCATTAGTACAAAATGGATAATCATCAGAAAATGGCATAATGAGTGCATTGTTTAGTTCTTTACTATTCTTACGTGCTCCATCATGAAGAATCTTATCTACTTGATTAATAACTTTCTCCATCTTTTAGTTACATATAAAATGTCTAAATATGATGGATTATACTATGAACATGTTATGAATGATGGCACGATAAGTGGTAATACAGTCTCATATAAATTACCGAGAGACTTCATTGAATATCCTGCGTCAAAAGCTCTTGAGATAAGAAAGATAAGTCTTGAGCATCCAGACTTTGAGTTTCTTGCTATTCCATTAGAAATGACAGATTCATCAAAATCAGTGAAAAAAAGGTTTGACATGAGATATTACATAAAACCCAACATGACTACACAGGAGTTGAATGAAGGTCTTATGGAAAAAATGACTGAGGCAAGTAGAGAATTTGTTGATTGTTACTATGATTCAAATGAAAATAAATTGAATGTATTAAGAAAAGGTACATCACCAATCATAACATTACCTTCATACAGTAGTATAGAAAAAAATGCCTTGAATTATAAATATGACATGTCCCTAGGAGATGTGTTGGATTTCATCACTGCGTTATTAGAAACCACTGAAACAGACACAACATCAAGAAAACCAGAGCTTGTTTGGGAAGATGACCATGGTAGAACATTCACGCAAAAAGTAATTCCATCGAAAGCAAAATTTTTAGACTTATGGGAAAAAAAATATATCTCGCGAATGCATGTATATTATAGTTTTACCATAGCAGATTTCACTGACGAAAATGATAAAGATAAAAAAACATATAAGTACTTTGATGAGCTTTTCATAACTATAGCGAATATCAGGTTTATCCTTGAGCGAAAGGGCAAACCAACATATAAATTTGTCGGTTATCAGATAAGAATAAATCCTCTCCTTGAGCCTTTAGTAACGTTGAGTAATATTGCTCATGATAACAAACAATTTATATGTAATGTGAATGAACAGCTTGTGCCACCAAAATTTTACGATATCACTGGTTATAAAGATGCACTCGTGTTTGAGTTTTATAAGCGCTTTTCATTCAAAAGAGTTGAAGAATCAACTGATGGTCAAAAAAAGGAATATTATGTAAAAGAACCATATGAAATTCCTAAAGACTCTAATATAATGGTTGAACTTATATTAGAGTCTGGTACTCAATCTCAACATAAATAGTTTACGTGACAGAATTTTTTTGACACGTAAAGTTTACATTTTAATGGAAGCGAACAACAAAGCTCCTGCTAAGCTCTTGCCATCCAGAAGCCAGAGGTGACTGAAGAACAGTCCTCTGGCGACGAGGAAATATTGATGGGTGGCGAGAGTCCGAAGACCGAGATCAAGATCCCAGATCTCGATCACAAGCAAACGGCAAAGAAAACGGGTCCACGAGCTACTCCTCGAGAGCTACGTTTAATCAAGACCAGCCACAAGTATTTGAAGCAGCTGGAGGAGTCAAACGTAGCTCTCGAGGAACTAAAGCTCAAGCTGGCTGAAAAAGTAGAGGAAGCGAAAGGTAAAGAGCTCTACATCAGCCAGCTTGAGTATAAAGTTGACTCTTATGCCAACGAGATCTGCGATCTTCGATCTCGTCTCAACCGTGTGGGACATGAGTCAGACAGCTGGCATGAAAGGTTCCTTAAGGCTGACACATCCTACCATGAATTAAAGCGCGCCATAAGGAACTTAGCCACTGACTTCTGATCCCTCCTCTAAACCACGAATAAACACCTAATTTTACTACTATAACTCTTTTTTATACTCACATTACTCACATATATCCTCATATAACTTATAGTTCATTGTCACTCAGATCACGATCTTTGTGATCACGATCAACTTAGGAAAAGAGAAAAAGTATAAAAGTTAGTATAATTAATTGTTTAGTCTTAAGTAAGCTTATTGTTCATCAAGGAGTTGATGTAAGCGTTTCTTTGCCTCCGTGATCTGCTTCTTTTATAAGCTTACAGTTAAGCCAACAGCAGAGTCTATTAAATATACTGAGAAACCAGTGTTATGCTTCTTACGTCACGTTTGCCTCTCCATACAGATTAAACAGGTGGGACCACCTATCGTACTTCTCGACGATTATGATTTATCAGCCCCTGCTAGTGAATAAAGGTTAGTTTACATATGAACGTTTATTTTTACACATATATGCGTACATATGCGCGCCCGTATGGTGTCAGTTTTCTGTCACTTTTTTCATTGTGTCGGTGCCTGTAGCTGTAGGCTACAGGCGACGCACAATGTATACTGTACTATTGTTTGAGGCAAGAGTATTATAGGAATATTATATGATGGATTTGAGTTGCATATAAAGAGTGCAAAAGGATAAAGAGAGAAATTTTGTTAGATTAAATTATTAAATTTTAATTCTTTATTTTTTAGGATTGTTAGCTTTGTAAGATTGCTTTCTCACAAGAGAAAACAAGTATAAGGTTTAAGCTGTATGTATTAAAGTTATAAATATTTGATTTTAAAAAAAATCAAGATTTTAAACTTTAAAGGTATTAATTATGATTATCTTTCTTTAGCTTTGCATGCTGTATGCTACTTTTGGAAACTGCTCTATTGTATTAGAATGTTTTTAAATTTTGCACCTAAAAATGCGTAATATTAAAAATTAAGGTATTAATTATGATTATCTTTCTTTAGCTTTGCATGCTGTATGCTACTTTTAGAAACTGCTCTATTGTATTAGAATGTTTTTAAATTTTGCACCTAAAAATGCGTAATATTAAAAATTAAGGTATTAATTATGATTATCTTTCTTTAGCTTTACATGCTGTATGCTACTTTTGTCTTTGAGACATTCCATGATTTAAGTTAAGAAGCTTTAAAAAAATGCAAAAAAATTGAATACTTTACTGGCTGGGCAAATTTGTCGCCGCCCCTCCTAAATGTTAGTCACCGTTACGGTTTTTTCTTTGGGGGGCGAGCTTGCGAGCCCCAAAAAAAAGAAAAAAACCGTAACGGTGAGCTCACATTTCGGCATAGTTTAAGTCTAGGTTTTGCATTTTAAAATGTTTGTTACCTTATCTTCTTTCAAAAAGTGGCAAAAATTTGTTTGAAATTTGAAAAAGATATTTATATTTGCATAAATGACATTCAACTAAGCTGTAGCATGATTCTTTTGCATGCTCTAGTTTTTTTCTCAGTTCAATCTCCTTCCATACTCTTGCTTGTACCAGTAAGATCGCACCAAAATTCTCAAAAATTAAGATCTCCAAATTTTATGTCCAACTCCAATTATCAAACGCCCTCATTAACGCCACTCATAGCCATCTTTCATGCATGAGAAATCGTTATTAGAAGATTTTTTACGGCTAATTATCTGATTCAATTCAGATCAATACTCAAAGCCCCATTATTTATTTATAAATCCTTGTTTGTCGCCTATGCGAATAAAAATTCTTTTTATATTTTAAACAATTTTTTTCACTTTGGAAGGAGAAAGGTGACTAACATTTTAAAAATGCAAAAACCGACTAAACTATTTGGAAATGTTAGTTTTATAGTAATTCGGATGGGATTGGGCAGACTTTTTCCGTTATAATATTCGATGTAATGTTTTTACAGAAATAAAAATCTCTTACTTCTGTTATAATTAATTTTTCTAGCGCAATGGATCAATAAAATGAAAATTTCTATATTTTTGTAACCTTTTCTGGTATATTAAAGCAAAAATATCAATGAATGCTACATTTTCATGGAGTTCAATATATACTAATTGAAGCCATACTTCTATGTTCAGCCAAACAGAATATGATATCATTTATATATTTCAAACTCAAATTACTGTAAAATGCAAAAATTAATTAATCAATTCAATACAGCCATTAGTTTAACTATTAAAGATTCGGACAATAAAGAGCCTCTAAAATATGGCTCTGTTATGATTATTTGGCAAATTCCATCAAGCTCTGATTTTCCTTTAGAACAATTTCTGCATATAATATCTTCTGATCTTATTGCAAATTCTGATTCATTTAAAACAGATACTTTTCTACCGCAAAATGTTTTAAGTGAATAAATTGGTTTGACATAAATTTCTTTTGCAAAAGTTGAAATATCTGATATTGTCCTTTTATCTTGAATATCGGTATCACCTGTATAGTATAATTCAAAATAACTATAAAATGGACCAGCAGATCGAAAGTTTGAATCAATGACCATTTTACAAAATTGAAATTTATAAAAGTTATATTGCAGAATTGTGAGATTCTTTGTGTTGACTTTAACATATTTCAATTTATCGCATTGATGGAATATTCCACTTCCAAGATATTCTAAATTCTTTGGAAGAATGATATTCGTGATATTTGAACAGTTTTCGAATGCATAATTCCCGATTGAAGTCAAACTGTTTGGGAATACTATGTTTGAAATACATTTGCAAAAACAGAATGAATGATGTCCGATTTTTTCTAAGTTATTTGGAATGTTGATCACAGTGAGATTTGTGCATGAATTGAATGCATAATCTCCAATTTCTCAGACACTATCTGGAATTTTAACTTCATACAAACTGACACAATTGCTGAAAGTGTTATCATTTATTGATTTTATTCCTTCTTTTATTTCGAAATATGAAATTTTTGAACAATTTTCAAAAACGAAATACCCATATTCCATCAATCCATCTGGAAACGCGGATATTGATAAATTACCACAGCCTGCAAAAGAACAGTCACAAAACTTTATAATTGATGATGGAATATTAATTTCAGAAAGACTTGAGCAACCAGAAAAAGCACGTTTTTCTATAATCTCGATAGAATCAGGTAAAATAACTCTTACCAAATTATTGCAATCAAGGAAAGAATAAAATTAAATTGATTTAATTTGGCATGATAAATTTGCAAATTTAAGGCTTGAACAATTACAAAAGGCATATTCTCCTAAATTATTTACTTTAATTGGAATATTTACATTTATAAGACTAATACAATTATGAAATGCACTTCCAGATATTTCAATCATATTTTCGGGAAGAACAATTTCTAGCATGTCTTTGCAATTATAAAATGTACATGGGTATATTTTGGTTACACTGCTTGGAATTTTGATCTTTTTTAAACTAGAACAATTATGAAACGTAAAATCTCCAATATAATTTAGATTTTTTGGTAAAATTATTTCTAGAATGCTAGTACAATTTTCGAATAGCCAACGATTTATAGTTTGCATTTTGTTCGAGATATTTAGTTTGACTAAGCTTTGACAGCCTTTGAAAGCATGTGATTCGATTGATTCTACATTTTCCAATGTAGGAAATTCTTTTAAACTAATGCAATAAGCAAATGCATATTCCTCAATATATTTTAGATTTTCTGGTAGTGTGATATTTAAAAGACTATAACATCTAAAAAATAACTGCTGATGAATTACTGTAATTTTGTTTGGAATTGCGATTGTTTCAAGTTGTGTACATTGAAAAAAACATAAATTTCCAAGTGTTAATAAAGTATCAGGCAGATTTATATTTTTGAGATTATTACACCTAGCAAATGAATAATTTTCAATAAAAGTTACAGTGCTCAGTATTATAATATCAATAAGTTTAAAACAATAACTAAAAGCACTTTCATTAATTAAGATTAAATTGCTTGGTAGAGAAATGTTAGTTATATTATAGCAGCAATAACATAAGTAGGATGGGATCACTGTGACTTTTTCTGGTATAACGATAGATTTTAAGTTTTCACAGAAATAAAAAGCTTTTTCTTCTATTTCTGACACATTTTGTGGGATGGTTATTGTTTCTAATGCATTGCACCAAGAAAATAAATTCTTTGATATTGTTGTTATCTTTCCTGGTAAATTGATTTCTATAAGTCTTCTACAACCAGAAAATGCAAAAGCGTCAATATTTCCTATATTTTCAGGGATTACAATTCTATTGATGGATTTACAATACATAAATGCCCCTGCACCAATACATGTTAAATTTTCATGAAGTTCAATATTACTTAAACTAGAACATTCAGAAAATATGTAGCTACTAAGATTAAGTAAGTGCTTTGGAACGTTGATTTTTTTCAATTTTTTACACCATGAAAAGCAACGATGCCCAATACTTGTTGTTGTATCAGGTAAATAAACTTCTTCTAAATTCATGCATTGGCTAAATGTAGAATTACCTATTGTATATATTGAATCAGGAATAGATATATTTGTGAAATTACTGCATAACATAAAAATTCCTTCTTCTAATTCATGAATATTTTTTGAAAGGTTAATATTTTCTAGTCCAGAATATCGAAATGCAAATTTGCCTATTCTTGTTATATTTTCAAGGTTAAAATTAGTTAATTTTTCACAGCTGGAAAAAGCAAACTCTTCAATTATTTCAATTCGATATGGAGTATTTATTATGTTCAAATTGTAGCAATAACGAAATGCGCTGCTTTCAATTGATCTGAGAGAGTTAGGAAGTGAAACTTCTCTTAGATTATAGCAATCTTGAAATGAATGATGACCAATAGATTCAATTCCTTCACTTATGAACAACCATTTTAAATTTCTTGATCTATTGCATAAGTAATGAGGTACAAATGAAGAGTTAATTAGTGTTAAGATTATGAAATTGTGTTGCATGTACTGTGGGATTGAACAATCATCATTCCTTAGATCTATTTTAAATGCCCCAATATCAGGCTGATCTTCAATGGAACAGAGCATTGATTGTTTGAAAAATTATTTTTTACTTGCTAATTTTTGGTAAATTTATATTTCTGCATGTTTTTGTGCAAAAAAAGATAGAATCAAATATACTAAATAAAAATCTTTGAAGAACATTTATCAAAAAGTCGAATCCGAAAAGGATAACTTCTATTTACGATGATACTTCTTAATAGATTAACATTTTTATTTTAATTTGGAATCGAAATTCGGAAATGTCACCCCCTTAAATTTCAACCTGAGAAATGAATATGCGAGAATTCTTCGAGCCTCTTCGGAACGGACCATTGACAAAGGAGCAAGAGGCCGAAGAAATCGAAAATATCACTCAATTACAGAATCTTTTAATGAATCTAAAAAATACAAAGATAGAATTTTCGATTCCAATTCTCAAAGAGTCAATATATTACAAAGATATTCATTATTACAACCAATTCATATCAAATGTCTACTTTGCAGCAGAATATCAGCCACAATCAATTCCAGAATTAGCGAAATTGACAGCGGAAGTCATTTACAACCACAAAGAAGAGCAAAAGCGCATGTGTAGAGCCCTTATTAAATGGGGTATTTACTCTCATTTGGCAGAATCGAATTCAGAATTGCATTCTTGTCGATTATGCTTCATTAAGAACTGTTTAGACATCAGTCTATTTGATACCAAATTACTTGTCGTTATAATTAATGACTTTTGGAAAACTTGTTCTCAAAGAAGATATCATTTGTGCAGATTGTTCGAATGGTTTGCTCCACAAATACTTATAGGTGATCCTACATTCTTTATGCACTTACTTTCGATTGTAGATTACGAAAATATTTCAGGACATCTTCCATCGCAGTTTGGAGAGCTTCTTTCGAATTTTGAGAGCCTTAGAGACAATAACTGGATGCTATGGAATATACTGATTAAGAATGTAACTACAGATGACAGTATCGAAAGAATTTTGAAAAATAATGATATAATTAAATTAAAAGAGATTATTTCGGACCCTACATTTGATATAAATCAAAGAATAAGTCCACATTGCTTCGAACCATCATGGTTTATCCAAAATCATCCAAATTTAATTCAATACGCTGCTTATTTCAATTCTGTTGATTGTTTCAGCTATTTAATAGAGAAAGGATGTGATGTTAATGCCAAAGATGATAAAGGAAATACTTTAATTGATTTTTGTGTTGCTGGAAATTCAATTGAATGTTTTAATTTGATAAAAAACAACAAAACAGATTTTACGAATTCTTTACACATTGCAGCATTATTCCATAATTATTCTTTGTTCCAACACTTGTTTAGGAGCTGCTGCCATGACTTAAATGCTATTTCGCTCATCTATGGAACAGTTATTAATAATATTGTTTCAAGTAATAATTTAAGGTTAACAAAATTTTATGTTGAAAATGAGAAATCTTCAATTAATGAAGACTTAATGAGATATGCCGCGCGTGTAGGTAGTCGTGATGTTTTAAGGTACTTCTTGGCAATGAATGATAAACTTGATATAAATTCAAAAGATGAAAACGGAAAAACCGCTTTAAGTTTGAGTGCAATTTCAGGACATTTCAACATAATTCATGAACTTTTGAGCATGCCTGATTTAGATATAAACATGAAAGATAAAGATGGAAATACTGCTCTTTTAATTGCAGCTAAAAACGCTGATTCAACGAGTATTTTAACATTAATGATGTCTGAGAAATTGTATTTAGATGCACAAGATAATGATGGAAACACTGCTCTTCATATTGGATCTTTAGATAATTGTCTTGACGTTGTTAAAACTCTTTGTAACTCTAAGGATATAAACCCGAATGTTCTAAACAAAGAAGGTGACGCACCAATCCACATCGCTACAAGAAATCCGGATTCTTGCGGAACTCATTTTGTTAGAAATATGGTAAAATCAGAACAAGGAAGTGAAGTGAAATTAGAAGTTTATATAAGAGAACAAAATAGAATTGTTCATGTAGATATTTTGAAGTTTTTAGTGACACATCCTAAAATTGACGTGAATTTGAAAAGCGCAATTGGATGGTCACCTTTGCATTATGTTGCAAGATACGGGCATTACCAATTAGGAAATATTTTGTATCAATACAAAATGAAAGAATTGGATGTGAATATAAGAGATAGAAATATGAGAACTCCTCTTCACGTGGCATGCGAAAGTGGTAGATTTGAAATGGCTTGTTTCTTGATACAACCTGGAAATTGTAACATAAATGCTCAGGATATGTTTGGACAAACTCCCCTTCATAAGGCAGTTTTGGCTGATAATTCAGAAATTTGTCATATGATGACTTTGAGAGATGAAACTGATCTAAACATACAAGATAAATACGGAAGAACAGCTTTGATGATTGCAGCTATTAAAGGAAGAATTGGATCTATAAGAATATTGGCAAGAAATCTGAGAATTAATCTGGATTTAACAGATAAAACAGGAATGACTGCTTTGCAACATGCTGTTAAAAATGGAAGGAAATATTGTGCAGAATTACTGAGAATTGCTGCTGATTTGTGTGATATGCCTGATAGCGAAGATAACTCAAATGCTGGCGATGATAATGACCAGATTTAAATGTCATACATATCTTATGTTTGTAATAATTTTATATTGAAATAAACATATTAATATAAAATTACTAATTTTTTATATAAGCAATTCTGATTTAAATTGTTGAAACAGTTTCCAAACTGGGAACAGGACAAATTTGCCATTTAAGGTTGTTGAAAAGTGACATGTGGCAAATTTATCCCGCACTCCCTTGTATTGGAATAAGACCACAATCTATCATAAATTGAGTGTATTTCAAATAAACATATTCTAAAATACGTGAAAAACTTTAAATATATATGTTTTCAGACGAGTTTAGTAGATACAAGCAGATTTGTTCAATTTTTTAAAGGCTGCACTTACGCCCATCTGACTTTAATTCAAATTTTTGACAACTGGCGTGAAGCGCCATTGAAATTTAACCTTAAACATATGAATTAAAGGCCCTGTCATAGGAGCGTAAGTGCACCCTTAAAATTTCAATAAAAAAGGCAAAATCTATACAATTTGGAAGCAAAAAAGCAAATTTATGTTTATTTCTTAAAGAACATATCATTGATTCAACTGTATCATTGTGAGGCTTGAAAAATTAAACAGTACATAATTAAATTATGGAAATTCAGACATATTCAGTATGATTTTATGAAAACCACAAAATAAAATTATAATTTTTGAAAACGATCATAAAATTATGTTTATTTTCATGAGAAATAATAAAATTATGTTATTAAGCAAGTGCAGCCACTCTTTCCTTCTTTGGCTTGGCCCTTTGTGGTTCTTCGACTTCCTCAACAGGTGTTGGAACTGGTATTTCATCGATTGTTGGGTAAGCGACTGGTTCTGGTGGTGGAGCGTAAAATGCTTGTTGTGGCTGGGCTTGGGAGTAAGGATTTGCTAGTGTGAATTGGGCGTATTTGTTGTATGTCGATGGTGGGAAGCTAGTTTTTACTCTCTCCATTTCGTTAGTAACGGAGCACATAAATTTACTAAAGATGCCAACAAAATTACGGAATGGAGTTTCTAAGTATTGGGCTCTTTGCATTACGAGGCGATTAACACCTTGGATAAAGTCGTTATTAAGGACTGAGTATTTGTTATACGCTTCTTGTGTTTTTTGATTTTGGGCTTCTATTTCTCCAACTTTTCCATTATGATCCTGAAGCCATTTCAGCTTCGAGCGAGCTTGATCGTATTCCTTGCGTAGTGGTTTTCTCTGCTTTTGAATATCTTTTAGTCGATCAGTTTCTTTTTGATAAACTGATAAAGGAGCAACAACATTTTGATCAATGAGTCTAGCAAATTGGTTACTTACAATTGATTCTAATTGCTTTCCGAACATTTCTATTGCTTTTGCCTCTCCTTTTGAATTTTGTGAAGCAGTAATGAAAGAAATTCCTAAATCAGCTCCGATTTTAGTAACTGAACGTGAAAGGACTTGCATTTGATTGCTCATTTGAATAATACATCCAATAATTTGGACGGTATCAAGGCAAATTGTTTTGAATGCTTCTTTTGCTTGAGTATAGTCAGCATCAATTGTCTTTTCTGTAACTGGAATTCCTACTGTAGCAGCGACGTCTTTAACAATGCCTGTTGCCTTCTTCAGAGCTTTTAACATTTTTTTATAAAGTCACTTTACAAATTTGTAAACTCTATAAAAAAAACAATGATGTGACAATAGTTTCAGAAAACTATAGATACATCTTTTAGATATAAATGTCAATATAGTAGCATATAATTATATAAGTATGTAGATGGATTTGGGTATAGTTTTACTTCTATAACTAGAGAAATTGACCTGATTAAAAGCAAATTTTGAAATCTTCCATTTTTCCCTATTGCAAAATTTTGAATAGTTTACAACCGTTGGTACTAAAGTCGCATTGAAAGCTAATGATATACGTATTTTCTTTTGTTCTTGTATAATACTTCATTGGCATAGTAACAAATCGTTGATTTTTTGATAAAATCAACAATGAATCAATCAATTCTCATATTCAGTTCGTCTGTATATATGTATTGTGAATACTTACGTGTAAGTTTCATTGTGACATGTCAAATTTATAAAATTATGAAGCAAATATAAATTATCTATAAACAATCTATTTATTATATAACAGAAATATAAACAATATATTTATTAGAACATTAGCCCTTCCTCTTCCTCACCTGAGCATAACCTAAAGAAATGTTCTGCAATAATTCTAATATCTTCATCTTCATCATCTAAAAGAGATGATGCAGATTCCATAAATTCATCATTTATGAAATTTTCATTAAATGCCGCTGCTGCTTCTTGGTCATCAATTTCTTGCATTTGATCTATTACAAATACGAGAACTTCTCCAAGGAATTTATGATCATCCTCATCAACCATATTTGCAAGAATCTCTAAGAAAGGAGTTTTTGTGAAAACTTCGATTTTTTGCTCAACATCACAATAATCAAAGATTGTGCAAATGACAAAGAATGATCCCTTTTTAATTTCATACTGCCCGTTAAAAAATAAAGTAAATATGTTTGAAAAGCAGTTGTTGTTCATCAAAGAACTGATATAGTTACTAACGACTTTGCAAATGCTGTTTAAATGCTCAAGAATCTCTGATGCATATTCAGAATGTTCTAATAACTCTTGACTTATTATATTATCCCATGGAATAATTGAAACTAAATCATTCTGCAAATTTATATCACAATATTCCAATATAATCTTAAGTAAACATAAAACATCAATAAATATTTTTGATTGTGCTGGATGAATGTTGTTTAATGCCATAATAATAAATGAATCTGTAATAAATTCATTTGAAAAAAGTGTTTTTTGTGATTGATCTGCATATTCGAGACATTGAATGCAACCATAAAAAGAACTATGTATAGGCTTATCTTCAATAACAATATTGGCTTTAAAGAAATTAAATTGTTTTTCAATATTGCATGCATCATGATTAACACTTAATATTGAAGCGCATGTTGATATGAGATCCTCAGCGCACTCTGGTCTTTCGTCATTTAAAATTATTTGAATGAAATCGTCAAATTGTTGTTCGATGTCATTAATATATTCTGAATAAGTCATTGTAATGTTTAATATGCAATTTAAAGCAAATTTTCGAATAGAAACAAACTGCAATGGAGGAATTTGAACTTCTGAAACTACATTTGGTGATTTTGCAATATCTATGATCATTTGGAATATATCGTGATTCATTCTTGATAATAATATGATTTCATCATCAGATTCAGCGCAAAATAGCAAGGCAATGATTTTCAACGTTAATTCAATAATAATTGGCCTATTAGCAATTGAAAGGCTATTAAATAGAAAGTCCATTAATTGAAAGCTATCCAACTCATCATATATCAATAATATTGAATCAAATTTTTGAATTTTATATGCTTTGATAATAAAATTGTTCAAATAGTTGAATACTTGCTCTAACACACCAATACGGGCTTCTAGATCGTTTTGATCTAATGATTCAAAGAAAGATCGAAATTCTGCAATATCAAAGTCATCATATTGCTCTTGAGGTTCACCCTTTAGTTCTTTTAAATAATCTCTTGTTATTGGCCTAAAATCACTATCCTCTTCATCCTTATATGAACTCATCTCCTAAACAAAAATAAAATTTGACTAAAATTGCAATAAGAAAAGTTATCACAGTATTGATAAGAAGGTAAAATTCCATATAATATCAAACATTTTGAAGAATAATTTCCAAAATTTTAATAAATCTTTGAACAATATAAAAGAAAAGTAAAAAGGAAAAAGTGTAATGTTTTGAAAGCAGTTCAAATAGAACATATGCTTTAGGCAAGGTTGACTGTACCGCGGCGGCGACCTGTACGGCGGGAAGCGATAAGACCAAGCTTCTGACCTGGGCGGGCAGAGCGGGCGACTGTGCCTGGAGCACCCATGTGCTGGTGGGAACCACCACCGTGTCTGTGGTCGACTGGGTTCATCTTGATACCGCAAACGACTGGCCATGTGTGGCGTTTAGCTTTATACTTGTAGTGGACGTTACCAGCCTTAAGGAGTGGCTTTTCTGGACGGCCACCACCAGCAACGATACCTAATGTAGCACGGCAGATGTTGGAAACAAGAGCCTTGCGACCAGATGGGAGCTGGATACGTGTGTAGTTTTCTGTGTGGCCAATAACACGGCAGGAATCGCCGGAGCAGCGGCCATAGCGGCCACCATCACCTGGACGGTGCTCGACGTTGCAGATTTCTGTACCTTCTGGGATCTGAGCAAGTGGAAGGATGTTGCCGATGTGAAGGTCAGCTTGGGCGCCGCACTTGATGAATTGGCCTGTGTGGATGCCTTCTGGGGCGATGACGAGGGCAGAATCGAAGCCCTGGCCTTCAGCCTTCTTGTAGATAAGCTTGGCAAGTGGAGCACCACGGCCTGGGTCGTGGATGATCTCCTTGACCATGCCGGAGATGACGGATGTGCGCTCGGCAGCATCAAGAGCACGGAATTTAGCTGGACCAACGCGGTGGTGGGTATGGGCCTGGAAAACAGAGCCGTTACCTCTACGCTGAGCACGAACGATGTGACCCATGTGTAAAAGGAAGAGCCAAACGGTTTTCCTCTCAATTATTTAAAAGATGAAATTTGCCTTGTAAACTAAAAAAATATTGTAAAGCACTATTTTGGCAAAAAAAGTATAAATGTTAATACTATAGATTATTTAATGTTCCTCTTAGATGCTTAGTATATTTTTAGCTAATTTATTAAAATCAAATGACTTTATAAGTTTGTTAGCAAATGTTGATTGCGAGTAAAGAGGATAAAATACTAAAAAATGGGAATGGAACGTACATAATCGAATGCACTAAACACTTCGTGTATAAGCCGCATTGCTGTGTATGAACAAGATTTGTAGCATTTGCAAATTTATTATAAGGATATAGAGAATGAACAAAAATAATAGGTGGAGACAGTTTTTCAAACCAATCTGCATCAATTTTATCCAGCCCACAATATATAACTTTTTCTATTTTGGACATGGCTAAAACATGAAGTTTTGATGATGAAATTTTACTAGGAAGTCTAATGATCTTCATATTATTTTGAAAAAAACACTCCTTGATCAAATTCGAGCGAAGTGCTATATCTTTCTTCAAAAATAACTGTTTTCAAAGTAGGAATATAACCAAAACAATCGAAGCCTAGATAAACTATAGTGTTTGGGATATAAACTGTTCTTAAGCATGAATGTGCCGTAAATGCATTAACACCTACATGTGTTACAGGAATATTTCCAATTTCATATTTAATAATTAAATTTTCACAAGTGTTATCTGGATCAGCATTATGATTATTTCCTGCAACGCCAGTACCTAACATATAGTTGGTACCCATTGGCTTGTAAACTAAATTGTCACACAATATAAAATTTAAAACTACAATTTAGAAAATAAAATTTGAAATCAAAGATAGTACTAATACTGAAATAAACCCTCAATATAAGAGCACTGAATCTTAAGTGTAAACTAAATTATTGCGCATACTAAAAAAATAAAAAGTGATAAAAATATTGAATTTTATTTTATCTGAATATTTGATTCATATATCTTTTCATAATCTTCTTTGATCATTATAGGGGATAAAATTTTTGATAAACCAGTTCCACCATCTCTCATAAATGCCAGTGATTCGTATTCCGTGAGATCATAATATATATTTGCATCATCAGGGCACTCACTTAGTATAAAGAAGAAAAATAGTGCAGAAGCGTATGATTTAATTGTTCTTGCTGTTTCTGCAGATAAAATTAACGTTGATGCATTCATTGCGCAATAAATAACATTGTTTAATTCATCAGTATTAGAAAATAAATATGTTAAAGTGTATTTCAGACCATCAATAGCTTCTTGCATTTTATTCCTTTCTGAGTTAATTAAGTAAAGAAAAACAATAGTTGCGAATCTCTTAATAAAACTGGTGGTCGAGTTATTGAAATCTTGAAGGTATTCAATGCTTTTGTTTAAATTTTCTGCTAATGTTTGGATAGTACTAACTTTGATATTAATAAGTTGATCTCTAAAATTGTACAGATCGATTATTATATTTTTATGTTTTTCTTTCATCCATTTTGTTGTTTCAAATAATTCGTTTAATTGTTGTTCTTTCATTTGATTTAATTCCTTCTTCTTCTTTTTATTTTGACTTTTTAATCCATCAATTTCTTTTTGGTTTTTATCAATATTTTCATGCAATGTAGAATTGTTTTCAATTATTGAATTGATACCAATGCCATCAATTGCATCTATTAATTTTTTCAGATTATCAATCAATGGATTTATCTCTTTGTGTGTGTCAGCGTTTTTATTTGTGTGCTTATTGATAATATCGGAAAGATTCTCTATTATTTTTTTAATTTTTCTTTTAATTCGAACGTAATTTTTCCCTAATTTTTCATATGATTTTATATCAATTTTTAATACTAATTGATATATAGGTTTTAATATGGACTGCCATGATTTTGCTTTCGACTTACTTTGATGAATAACTAAATTGTAGAATCCATCTTTCTGATAACGACGATATCCATCTTTGAAAATATAAGGTAAATTGAAGTAGATATTTTGTAATTCATTAAAGGTCGAACTTAACTGTAAGCATCCTTCTACATTTAAGATGTATTGGCGTTGAATTTGATGATTAGGAGGATTATCCATGGCCAAAATTATTCGAGAAAAAATCCTGTCTAACGTTTCATTTTTACTTACAATATTTTGAATAAATTTGATTTCATTCATTTCATTGATGTAAGTTTTATGATTGGCCTCGTATTTGTGGAAAAAATCTGAAATTTTCTGAATTGGAATATCTCTAATTAGAACTTTTGAATTTTCTTGTTTAAGGTTTGCTAAAGTTTGGGTGATTTGTGATATAGCTTGAGTGCACTCCTCTTGGGATTGATCGAAAATATTAAGAAAATTTTTGGAGAGTAATTGGAATAAATTATGAATGTTGCTTGGTCCATTTGGATTTTTGACCCATTTTTTAATATTTTGGGATAACTGACATAATGCTTCTTGAATAAAATCTAGACCTTGTTCATGGCTCATTATAGAAAAATGTTGGAAATTTTTTATAAAAAAAAATGAATCTGTAAATGGCCGAACAATTATAATTGAAGGTCGACCTTTTTATGGGGAGGTCTATGAAAATGTAACTCGTTGAAAATTCAAACTCAAAATACTTAAATCAAGAAATATATTTTTATTTCAAACAAAAACTTTATGAGTTTGATAATCCATTTCTTTCTAGAACAGCGATTACTTCTTTGTTACCTTCAGCTGCATCGAATAAAAACTTTGCTCCATTACCAGGTTTTAAGTCACTCCTAATTCCAGGGCTTCTTAAAATTGCCTCCAAAATTTGACTTTTTCCTTCGGAAGCAGCGATAAAAGCTGGAGAAAATGAATCAGGAGGAGATGGCATATTCACATCAACATAAGGTGAAAGTACCATCATTCTCACTAAGTTAATATTTCCTGCTTTAATGGCTATGGCCAATGGTGTTGGATTAACTCCATTTGTGTAATTAGCATCAATACCTCTTAAAGTCAGTAAGTTCGCCATTATTTCAACATCTCCAGATGAAGCAGCAACAGCAACTGGTGTTTCACCGCTTTTATTAGGTGTGTTTAAAGCAATATCCTTTAATTTCATCAAGTAAAGCACTACTTCTTTATGTTTAAATCTGATTGCTTCGTGAAGAGGAGTATTATCATTATCATTTCTCAAATTAACATTAACGCCTTGATAATTGCAGATCAATTCAACAATATCCTTGCATCCTCTCATGCTTGCTGTCATTAATGCAGTATTTCCGAGTTTCCCTCTTGCATTAATATTCAAGTTTTTCTGTGCTAAAATTAATTTCGCCATTTCATAATTTTTAATTCCACAAGCAGCAATTAAGGCAGTATTCCCATTTCCATCTTTGTGATTTACATCTGTCCTTTCATAAGAAAGAAGTGTCTTTACACAATCAACATTACCAGACAAAACAGAGATAATTAATGGAGAAAAACCATTTGATCCACTTAAATTTGGATCAGCTTTTTCAGATTGTTCCATGATTTGAAGAATTGTACTTGATTTTGATAATCTCGCAGCATGGAATAACGCGGTGCAGCCTTCATCATCTCTGTTATTAACATCTATATTTGGATGTTCAAGTAATTTATCAATAATCTCTTCATTTCCAGAAATAACAGCGAATTTCAAAGGAAAATCTCCTTTTTTAGATTTGAGATTTGGATTAATTTTTTCACCTTTCGACATAAGTAATTTAACATCATATAAACTGGCATTTCTGCATGCATATAACAAAGCTGTATATCCATTATCATCTTTAGCGTTTAAATCAACTCTATCGCATTCTAAAAGTATTTTTGTGACTCTTGAATTACAATTTTTACACTTTTTATTAAAGGTTTTCACCATTTAAATCTTTTGTAAGCTAGAGAAAAAACAGGCGCAGATTTGACTTATTGAGAACATAAGCACGAATTGAACCTACGTTTCCAGGGAGTTTGTATTGTTACCTTATGGTTCAAGATGAATTGATTTGCCCATAAAGTAACTGAA